TAGAACCTCCAAAGGTCCTCTCAAGGTTTGACCAGGTCTAGTTGGGTCCAGAGACTTGGTTTTATTTCCAAGGAGCTGTGAGAAGGTTTTGAAGTTTGCACATTTCTTAGAATCTCAAAAAATCCTCTCCAGAATCGAGCAGGTCTAGCTACGTCCAGAGACTTGTTCAAAGAAGCCATGAAACTCTCTCACAACTCTTTTTGAGGTCCCTCCAAAAACCCTTTGTAGGATTTACCAGATCTAGAGTCGTGAAAAGCTTTCACGACTCGTTTTTCTCCAAAAACCCACCGTCCAGCTCTGTCCGGACTCGGTCTTATTCCACCGCGCTCGAAAGCGTTAAAAAGGAGCCGATGCTTTTAAAACGGGCTTAAAATTTTGTAGGGTAAGCACGGAGCTGGTCGCGAAAATAACAGCTGACGCGTTCGTGCAGGCGCATATACGCGATTATCGCGGAACCGTGAAGGACCGAGGGCTATTCAAATTCGCGAAAACCCTCTCGAGATGTTGAATATTCAGGACGTCGTTTCACGCAGACGTCCTGCGACGGGATAACCTCTTCGACGGATACTGCTTACCGGACGGAAACGTCCTTACAGTTTGCTGAGGATCAGATTGTAATTGACACCGAATTGATTCCGTAGACCTTTTATCTCTTTGCGCTGTGATTTGCCAAATATCACACTTTCTGCTACAAATCTAGGAAGTTAAAATGTGACCTTTACTAGAATGAGAAGGTTAGAATATTTTTAGTGACCTTGTAGCTGGATTTATTTGAAAAATTCAGGTGTATGAAGAATATAAGAAAAGTTTAGGTTTGAACGAATGTTTCTAGGCTGATTAAAGTACAAGTAGTCTATGTTTAAGTCTATGTCAAAGTACAGGTAGTCTATGTTTAAGTCTATGTCAAAGTACAGGTAGTCTATGTTTAATATGTTTATTCTTATTGAGTCTGTTACTATGTTTGTTTTTATTAAGTCTCTATATATGTTTGTTCTTATTAAGTCTAGTAACAGCCCTCATTGTTAAAATTCACTAGAACAGTGGGTCAACGAAACAGTTTCAAGCCTCTCCATAGTCGATGATGACTGTTATAATCAACAAACGATTCATCTCGAGTACATTTTCCTGAAAGAACTTTTTCGAAAGAAACACAGAATGGAAGAATAAGAGTAAGAGACGACCTCAAATTGGCCTGAAAAAGTGAGGCGAGGCTCGCTTCCCATTGTAAATTGAACTCACGCGCGAGCTGGAGCATCCGGGAACAACGAAAAGAATAAAAAAAAAAAGAGAGAGAGAAACGAGAAAAGAAAGAAAATAAACGGTGAAACTCGTGTTTCTCCGCATCCACGTTCGCCTTTTGAGAATTCATAAATATTCTACGAGAGAGCGGAGTGGTATCAACGTTTCGATGGCCTAAAAATTCTTTGACGGTATTCCGCTCTCTATGACAGAGAGAAAGAGTTACAGAGTGCATCGCCACGATACAAACATCATTTATTGGAAAACTTTCGTTCGAACTCGGCCACTTCCAAATGGAAAACATAGACAAAATTTCAGTGAAATCACGGCTGAAGTACTAGTGCGTTATCAGGACATCATAAGTATATGAGTGTGTTACGAGTACAATCACGAGGACATCACAGATATATGAGTGCGTCACGAATGCGTCACGAAGACATTTTGAGTATATAAGTGCGTCACGAGTGTGTCACGAAGAAATAGATATATGAGTGCGTCACGAGGTCATCATGGGTATATGAGTGCGTCGCGAGTGCGTCATATATGTGCTATGAGTGTATCAAGAGTGCGTCATGAATGCGTCACAGGTGCTTCAAGAGTGCGTCATGAGTGCGTCACGACTTCATCTTTAGTCCGTTATGAGTGCGTCACGAGTGCGTCATATATGTGCTATGAGTGTATCAAGAGTGCGTCATGAATGCGTCACAGGTGCATCAAGAGTGCGTCATGAGTGCGTCACGACTTCATCTTTAGTCCGTTATGAGTGCGTCACGAGTGCGTCATATATGTGCCATGGATGTATCAAGGGTGCGTCATGAATGCGTCACAGGTGCATCAGAGATGCATCAAGGATGCGTCAGGAGTGCGTCACAACTTCATCTCTAGTGTTATAAGTGCGTCACGAGTGCGTCATATATGTGCTATGAGTGTATCAAGGGTGCGTCACGAATGCGTCATAGGTGCATCAGAGATGCATCAAGGGTGCGTCGTGAGTGCGTCACAACTTCATTTTTAGTTCGTTATAAGTGCGTCACGAGTGCGTCATGTGTGTGCCATGGGTGTATCAAGGGTGCGTCATGAATGCGTCACAGATGCATCAAGGGTGCGTCAGGAGTGCGTCACGACTTCATCTTCATCCCGTTATGAGTGCGTCAGGAGTGCGTCCTATATATGTCATGGATGTATCAAGGGTGCGTCATGAATGCGTCACAGATGCATCAGTGGTGCGACAGGACTTCATCTTCAGCCCGTAATAAGTGCGTCACGAGTGCGTCATAGGTGTGTCAAGGGTGCGTCATGAATGCGTCATAGGTGCATCAGATATGCATCAAGGGTGCGTCAGAAGTGCGTCACGACTTCATCTTCAGCCCGTTATGAGTGCGTCATAGGTGTGTCATGGGTGTATCAAGGGTGCGTCATTAATGCGTCACAGATGCATCAGAGATGCAGCAAGGGTGCGTCAGGAGTGCGTCAAAAGTACATCACGGGTGCGTCAGTTGCATCAAAAGTGCATCAAGAGTGCGCCACGACTGCATTTTGAGTGCGTCATGAGTGCATCGCGATATCATGAGTATACCACGTTTAATAATATCCCGTTTTATGTGACAAAGAAAAAGAGTTACAGAATGCATATAAACATCAGTTATTGGAAAACTTTCGTTCGAACTCGACCTGTTCGCTCGCAATTTCAATGTTGCAGCTATACAACCGAATCGACGCTCCATATTCCGAATAATTCTTGATATTTTAACGAGGTTAGCGTTTCTAATCGCGTTACGAGAACCGGCGAGTAATAAATTATTCCGGAAAAGCGATCCGCAAGAGATACTTTCGAATTAAACCGCTAGAAATCAGAAAATCATGAAATTATCGGTTTAGCTTCTGATTAATACGATTTGACGAAGCTCTCGAGCATACGTCGAACGAAGAAAGCTGAATAAGATGTCAAGAACCTCTAGAAGGTTTGAATGAACGGTGGATACGTTAATCATCATTATAATTAAAAACGAACTCAATGAACGCCGGCATTCGAATCACGTGCTCGTACTTCCGGTGAGATATCGAACGAGTGCATACTCGAGAAAAATTCGAGCCGGGGGAATGGATATAACTCGGATCCTCGCGAGACGGACGAATAAATTTTACCAAAGAACCCAGAGTAAATATGTACTCTAGACCCATGTATCTCTCGAATGTACTTCTTCCATAACGAATCATGAGAAAGTAATAGCACGAAGTTCTACTAAATTCTTACGAATAAAAAATTGAAGAACTTCAGTCATGACTACATTTACATAACTTTAAATAGATTGCAATTAATAAAGAAAGATCAAACTCCTCCAATACTCTTACAATTTAAAACTCCAATAAAAATTTTACAAGAATATTACACAAGAATAATGCACAAGTAATAATAAATCTGTACATTTATACTTGAAGACCAGTATCGATTTTTACAATAGAAAGACTTATCGACTAAGACTTACCTGGGACTTCCTTCGTGACCGACGATCAGTGAATTCACTTTTCATTTTATTTAACAGCTGAAAGTCGAACATCGGTACTGAAGTTATGTTCGGAAGTGCAGAATGAAACAGGATTGGAAAGAGAGCAGCTTTACCGACTGTGTTTCTTCAGGAGAGGGATAGATGGAGGTACTTGGACGGAAAGGCTGCAGCTCTCCTTCTGGAAAGAAGTTATGTTTTACTGCTTTGGTAATTTGATGGATAAAGAGATTATTTTTATGTAACTGTAAAAAATATTACTGTTGGATAATTACTGCTTTACTGAAACCTTCAAGGTTTTACCTTGAAACCAAGGTTTTATCTTGAAAACCTTGGAAGTTACTCTTCAGTAAAACAGAACTTTGAGACTGAAGGATGTGACATTTTAGAGAAGATGGTGAAATTCAAGATCGTATAGATATGTCCGTGTATTATATAAAACATCGTTATTGTAACGTACATAATCGTACACCCGCCTCTTTCCTTCTCCTCGATTTCTCATAAATCAACTATTCTCGTATCTCTTGATATTGCACAATCGCGAAAAGGAAGACGAGGAAATCGAACGCCGAAGTTTCCTAAAGATCTATAAAGTTCCACTCCTACTTTACGTGTTTGTCCTAAAGAACATCTACAAGTTCCACTCCTGTGTTCCTTATTTTCTAAGATGGTATCTTCTACAATCTTTATGCCATCTACAACTGTACTCAAATTTTTATTTCAGAAAATTCTGCGCACAGCATCCGACTTCCTCTCACGCGTAAAAAACAACATCGCACTCACACTTAAATATCACATTGTACGGGTTTCATTACACGGGGACTAGCTTAAGGTAATTTCCTACAGCGGCGACGTCGCCAAAATATTCGAACCCTACCGAAATATTTCAATGTAATCTCGATAAGGTTGCTTCTATGTACAATCCGAGTTAAACTTTCCACGCTCGAAACAAAAATCTCTCTTTCTGTACATAAATACGATCTACGAGCGAGATAGCGATGGTCCATCGGTATTTGGCTCCACGTTGCGTAAACGTTCCAAACTATCTACATCTATGTACAAATTTCACGACACAGTTCTAACTTCTCTGGACACGAATAAAAAAAATAACAAAAACAAAGTACAGGTGAATCCTCGAAGGTTCTCTTCCGTTTCTTCATCCGGTGGATCATCTGTGAGGACAGTTGGCCACATGGGGAAACAGATGGCAGTGGATCGACTTGAATCTGTAATTAGAATTAAGGATTCTTTACTTCTGCATTAAGGAGTCTTCTGCTAGGTACTTCTACTTCAAGGAAATCGATGGAGTTTGCGAAGGGACAAGTTTTGTTAAGTAGTTGTGAAGTTGGAAGTGGAGATAACGTGGAATGAACTCAGATGATTATGTTGGGATTAGAACTAGCAAGAAATGTTGTAGAGATGTTATAGAAATGGCTGGAGATTTTGTCTACGTCAAAGAGTCAAGCTAATGAAAAACCAATAGGAGCTTCATAATAACATTTATAATAATAAATACTAAATTTCTAGCTGCTAATAGTGCAAATTATAGAAATGTTATATAGAAATGGCTGGAGATTTTGTCTACGTCAAAGAGTCAAGCTAATGAAAAATCAATAGGAGCTTCATAATAACATTTATAATAATAAATACTAAATTTCTAGCTGCTAATAGTGCAAGTTATAGAAATGTTATATAGAAATGGCTGGAGATTTTGTCTACGTCAAAGAGTCAAGCTAATGAAAAACCAATAGGAGCTTCATAATAACATTTATAATAATAAATACTAAAATTTCTAGCTGCTAATAGTGCAAGTTATAGGAATGTTATATAGAAATGGCTGAAAATTTTGTCTACGTCAAGTAGTCAAGCTAATGAAAAATCAATAGGAGCTTCATAATAACATTTATAATAATAAATACTAAATTTCTAGCTGCTAATAGTGCAAGTTATAGAAATGTTATATAGAAATGGCTGGAGATTTTGTCTACGTCAAAGAGTCAAGCTAATGAAAAACCAATAGGAGCTTCATAATAACATTTATAATAATAAATACTAAATTTCTAGCTGCTAATAGTGCAAATTATAGAAATGTTATATAGAAATGGCTGGAGATTTTGTCTACGTCAAAGAGTCAAGCTAATGAAAAACCAATAGGAGCTTCATAATAATATTTATAATAATACATACTAAATTTCTAGCTACTAATAGTACAAGTTATAAGAATGTTATAGAAATGGCTGGAGATTGTCTACGTCAAATAGTCAAGCTAATGAAAAACCAATATAAGCTTCATAATAATATTTATAATAATAAATACTAAATTTCTAGCTGTTAATAGTACAAGTTATAGAAATGGCTGGAGATTGTCTACGTCAAATAGTCAAGCTAATGAAAAACCAATAGGAATTTCATAATAATATCTATAATAATAACAACTAAGAATATCTAGCTTCTAACAGTACAAGTTAGAGTCCACAAAAGTCTACCGCAGATTCTCCTACAATGAAGCTCCATAACCACTTGTGACAAGAGAAAAATAGAAGGACGGAAACAAAAGGTCCAGAAATTGCAGACTAATTATGAATAAAGTCAATTAACGGAGCATCCCGGTGTTCCCAGGTTCGTGTTTTCTGCCACACGGACAATTATACAGGCAATTGAAGCTTTCACGCAAAAGGAAAAGAAACGAGAGGAAGCAGAACGAGGCAAGATTCAGTTACACGCAGCTCTACCGCTAATTACTCCTCTGTCTAGCTGGGGATGGTAAAAAAGATAGATTAGTGCTGGAGAATCAAGGAAGTTCACCTGGGATTAAGTTAGGGAAGTTTGAAGGAATTGGAGACTTCTGGGATGCGTTGTAAGGTTTCTGTTTTATGCAAGGTTCAGGAAAATTGGGAACTGTGGAACATTTGGGGAGCTGTGAAAACTGAGAAGGAGGTAGAACAAGGATATGAGCTTATGAAGACATCATGAGTTATTTTATTTATAATTATTTTATAGATATTTGACTTTTTATTTTATCAGGAAGGGTGACTTTTTAGAGAAAGGACTCTAACTGGACAACTTATAGTAAGGAACAGATCAAACTTTCTGTAGCTTTATTTAGCCCAAACCTTTCACTTTAATGTTTCTTAGTTTCTTTAATTCTTGATGAGGTTTTAGGTAACATTTCATTTTTGACCAATTAGTTTCTTTAATTCTTTATCAATTTTTACTTCAAGTATAATTAATTGATCAGTTAGTTTCTTTAATTTTCTATGAGCTGGGAGGTCACATTTAATTTTGGATCAGTTAGTTTCTTTAATTCTTTATCAATTTTTACTTCAAGTATAATTTTTGACCAGTTGGTTTCTTTAATTTCCTATGAGCTTGTAGGTCACATTTAATTTTTGATCAGTTAGTTTCTTTAATTTTTTATGAGTTTTTAAATCAAATTTAATTATTGATCAGTTAGTTTGTTTAACTTTTGACCAGCTCCTACGTCAAATTTAATTATTGATCAGTCAGTTTCTTTAATTTTCAACCAGTTTTTATATCAAATTTAATTATTGATCAGTTAGTTTGTTTAATTTTTGACCAGCCCCTACATCAAATTTAATTATTGATCAGTTAGTTTCTTTAACTTTTTATGAGTTTTTAAGTCAAATTTAATTTTTGATCAGTCAGTTTCTTTAATTTTCAATCAGTTTTAATATCAAATTTAATTTTTGATCAGTTAGTTTGTTTAACTTTTGACCAGCTCCTACGTCAAATTTAATTATTGATCAGTTAATTTCTTTAATTTTCAATCAGTTTTTATATCAAATTTAATTTTTGATCAGTTAGTTTGTTTAATTTTTGACCAGCTCCTACGTCAAATTTAATTATTGATCAGTTAGTTTCTTTAATTTTCAATCAATTTGTACGTCACATTTAAATTTTGTTTAGTTAGTTTCTTTAATTCCCAATCAATTTTTACGTCACATTTAATTCCTGATGACTTAGTTTCTTTAATTTTCGATCATTCTTTACATCACAGAAGCTTGAGTTACCTTTTAGGATCGTCCTTCATGTCGAAGCCGTCGATCTTCAAAATATTCCACTCGTCCCTAGGACCCTTCGAGTAGCTGAACGAAACCTGCGAGAAAAATAGTTTGAAACAGATATCGATGCGGGTGACCATCGCCAGCAGCAACACGATATCGCTATTTTCGCATACCTAACGAAACACGAGCTCCGGCAAATATTTGTTCTGTCCGAAGATACGATTACGCTTTTCTACGACCGTTTTCTACACGGTCAGCTCCTAAACGTAACCGTCAAAAGACATTCTCGTCCGAGAATTCATTTTTCGTAAAGAAACCGCTTTCGGATTTTGGAAAGCAGCGAAAATGGTGGGGCGAACAATGGTCACCTGGTTCTCGTGAGTCAGTAGCGGTAATTTCCGAACAACGGCGATTAAATAATGGTCATTGTACGATGGAAAGCGAGCGCGGTGATTCATGGGAGATTATTCTATTACCCGCGATTAGACTTCACACTGCGACCCGTACCATCTTAATTCCCTCCCCTGGCATTTTTTAAATCCCTACCGGATCAATTAATCACCGAGATTGAAAGCGTTTTTCCTCCTGGAAAAAGTTTCGGGAAGTTGGAATTTCTCGAAATTACCTGTTCACCGAAGGTGTCCTTGTTGAGAAACTTCATGGGCTCCAAATGCGAGTGGAATTGCTCGATGACGGTGAGCTGTTTCTTCAGCAGGTACTCGATTATGTATCCCATCGTCACGTCGTCGGGCAACCTGATTCTGTCGCCGACTGTGATGAATTTCCCTCCTCTGAAAACAACGATGTAAAAGGTAGATTTCGTTCGGAGGAGAAATAGAATCTGTTGGGCCGGTGTTTAATTGTCGGATTGCGCGAAGCCACCTTAATTTACCGGCATTCCACGCATGTAGATTAGCCGTGAACGCGCACCTGCTGCTCGTCCACTGTCCTCTCTTCGTTCCGCTCCGCTCGCTTCCTCTCCCGAGCATAACTGGTTGGCCGCATTAAACCGAGTCCCGAGCCTCGGCATTTATTAAGGCCGTTCGTCCACGCGATATGCCCTACCAGCCCTAACGAATTTCCATCGATCGCTCGATTATTCGACCTATTAATCCGCTCGATTCGACCACGCGACGCCACGCTTCGACGGGCTTGAAATCATTTTCCATGCTCCGTCAATGCCTTGTTAGCTTATGGACTAATTTCGTTACAACGAAAAATACTTTTGCTTCGAAATAAAGAGCAAGGTTATCAAATGGCTGTAAGATACAAAATAGGACTTGTAAATAATATTATGATGTTTTAAAAATGTTACTATATTTTCTCAAGTAAAATTCTTCTTAAGGGTTGAAACAGAAAAAAGATTAGTAAGATGCAAAATATGACTTGTGAATAACATTGTAATGTCTTAAAAATGTTACTACAATTTCTCAAGTAAAATTCTTCTGAAGGGTTGAAACAGAAAAAAGATTAGTAAGATGCAAAATATGACTTGTGAATAACATTGTAATGTCTTAAAAATGTTACTACAATTTCTCAAGTAAAATTCTTCTGAAGGGTTGAAACAGAAAAAAGATTAGTAAGATGCAAAATATGACTTGTGAATAACATTGTAATGTCTTAAAAATGTTACTACAATTTCTCAAGTAAAATTCTTCTGAAGGGTTGAAACAGAAAAAAGATTAGTAAGATGCAAAATATGACTTGTGAATAACATTGTAATGTCTTAAAAATGTTACTACAATTTCTCAAGTAAAATTCTTCTGAAGGGTTGAAACAGAAAAAAGATTAGTAAGATGCAAAATATAACTTGTGAATAACATTGTAATGTCTTAAAAATGTTACTACAATTTCTCAAGTAAAATTCTTCTGAAGGGTTGAAACAGAAAAAAGATTAGTAAGATGCAAAATATAACTTGTGAATAACATTGTAATGTCTTAAAAATGTTACTACAATTTCTCAAGTAAAATTCTTCTGAAGGGTTGAAACAGAAAAAAGATTAGTAAGATGCAAAATATGACTTGTGAATAACATTGTAATGTCTTAAAAATGTTACTACAATTTTTTATGTAAAATTCTCCTTAAGGGTTGAAACCGAAAAAAGATTAGTAAGATGCAAAATATGACTTGTGAATAACATTGTAATGTCTTAAAAATGTTACTACAATTTCTCACATGGAATACACCTTAACACATTGACTGCCACGTCATCCACATATGAGTGACAAGTTGCTAAGCCGATCTAACATGAGTATAATTAAAAATTTATTCACTTTCCCAATAAAAAATTTTTACACTAATTACACGGCATTCTTGGATTAATTACACGTATCTATGGAAAATAACTGTAATAATCTATTATAAAAATATTTGGTAAAATTGATGGTAACTTAAAAGACTCCTTGACGCAATTTTCAATTGTTTCATTGTGTGAATGTGTTAAAAGCGATCGATATCGAAATAAGTCTTTCCATAAGACCCTTATCCGTGGACACCGATCCTTTCGACATACCAAGCGGCTCGTTCAGACAAATCTACGATGCCTCGAAAGCGGCAACCCTTTGAGACATTTGTCCCCGTACTGTTCTCTCGCGTCTCGAACCAGGTGTCACTCCGTTCGATATACAAGCTTGCTCACCGAACTTGCGACTACCGGCCGCTCTAATTGGCACGATTTATGTCCACGTTCTCTTCCCTTCTCGATTGACCCACGAACTCGCGAAATTGCCGATTTCACCCCTTCTCGAGTGACGTCGATTCTTTCTATCGAATTCCGAATCGCCTGTGCATTTTTTGTGTCGAGGGACGAACGCTTACGTCAACTCCTTGCCTTATAATTTATTTGTCTGGTGCGTCAGAACTAATCACAATATTAAAACAGACAGGGAAGGTTGAAATATGTCAATTTGAAATTGAATTACAAATGAAGACATATTCATATAAAGATATATAAAAGACAGATAAAATAACTGCTGAAGTTCGAGTGCGTCACGAGTGTGTCATGAAGACATCATGGGTATACAACTAGTGCGTCACGACAACATCATGAGTGTGTCACGAGTGCGTTATGAAGACATCAAGACTAGAGCACGAGTGCGTCAAGGGTGCGTCACGAGGACGTCAAGAGGACATCAAGAGTAGAGTACGAGTGCGTCAAGGGTGCGTCACATTTCCTGATTCCCACGTCCTCAAATTTCCACATTCCCCAATTTCTACGTCCCCCAATTCCCACATGCTCTAATTCCCAGATACCCCAATTCCACGTCCCCCAATTTCCACATTCCCCAATTCCCATATTTCCCAATTCCACGTTCCCCAATTCCCACATTCTCCAAATCACAGATACCCCAATTCCCACGTCCCCCAATTTCCACATTCCCCAATTCCTACGTCCTCCAATTCCCACGTCCCCCAATTTCCACATTCCCCAATTCCCATATTTCCCAATTCCACGTTCCCCAATTCCCACATTCTCCAAATCACAGATACCCCAATTCCCACGTCCCCCAATTTCCACATTCCCCAATTCCTACGTCCTCCAATTCCCACGTCCCCCAATTTCCACATTCCCCAATTCCCATATTTCCCAATTCCACGTTCCCCAATTCCCACATACTTCAAATCCCAGATACCCCAATTCCCACATCCCCCAATTTCCACATTCCCCAATTCCTACGTCCCCCAATTCCTACGTCCCTCAATTCCCACATGCTCCAAATCCCAGATACCCCAATTCCCATGTCCCCCAATTTCCACATTCCCCAATTCCTACGTCCCCCAATTCCTACGTCCCCCAATTCCTACATGCTCCAATTCCACGTCCCCCAATTTCCACATTTCCCAATTCCCATATTTCCCAATTCCACGTTCCCCAATTCCCATATCCCCCCATCCCTACATGCTCCAATTTCCAGATGCCCCAATTCCCACATTCTCCAATTCCCATATTCTCCAATTCCTCCAAAATTCCCCAACGTCAAGAGTGCGTCATGAAGACATCATGGGTATAGCTCGAGTGCGTCAAGAGTGCGTCACGAGGTCATCATGAGTGCGTCAAGAAGACATCATGAGTATAGCACGAGTGCGTCATGAGGACATCATGAGTATACCAAGGGTGCGTCATAAGTGCGTCATGAGAACATCAAGAGTATAGAACGAGTGCGTCAAGGGTGCGTCATGAAGTTATCACGAGTGCGTCAAGAGTGCGTCCCGAGGACATCACGAGTATACCACGTGTGCGTCAAGAGTGTGTCACGAGAAAATTACAAATATGTGACGAGTACGTCACGAGACAAATTCGTCAAAATGGTGCAAGGGGTTAATAAACGTGTCGGCAGCTATCTTCATACTCGTAGCGCCGAAATCGATGGGAGAGCCCCGGAATTTATTATTCCAGAGCTTCGACGGGAAAAAAGAAAGATGTCCTCTCAGTTGGTTTACACACGGTCGAAAAATCGAACGGGACCCCTCGTAAGTAAACAGCCGGTCCTCCTCCGGCACCGAATTTCTCACGGTCCACCGAAAAATTTTCACGATATTCCCCGTCCAATTAGCAGGAATCTTCGCGTACGCAAAGCGTCGCGTCTAATTAACGTTTTCCGAGAGAACCGCCTAGAAGAGGGCCCCGAACGGGCCCGGGAAAAAATGTTGGACGAAACGAGAGCAATAGAGAGAGAGAAAGAGGGAAAAGGGAGAGGAGGCACTCATTAGCGAATACCATCGTTGAATTCTCGAATACGGCGTACCTGCCCGGCCGTCTCTCTCTTTCTCTCTCCCGGTTCTTTTTAATTGGCCAGATTAGTCCCGAAATCGCGTACCCTTTCGCTGCTCCCTCTCGCCTTCTTCCTTCTGTCGCTCCTTTTTTTCTCTCCCCTCCCCCTCGGCGTTGCACCTTCCTCGCCGTTCTTTCGGCACCGCCGACACGGAATATCGGCCTCGTTAAAATACCTACGGGCCCGAAGACGAAATCGAAATTTCAGGGGTTACAAGAGAGGATGAAAGGGATCGAAACGTGTCCTTCGAGCTTTCAGTCTTCGTCCGCCGCTAAATAAGCCAGAGGGACAGATTTCGCGATACCGATCTCTTTTATCCTTTACATTCCTCGCAAACCGCCGGGAATTTTGTGCCACGAAAATTTACCAATCTCGTGCTCGTCATTTTCACGTGTGGATCGATAAAGTTATCGATGCCGCGATCGAGATGAGATCTTCCTCTGATCGAGCCGACGTTATCGATCGAACGAGCACCTCGCGATCGTATCGATTAATTTCTAATCGATAGCGGCAATCAATGCGGCAAGAGCAAAATAGACTTCGACGGTTGGATCTTCCCATGCTTCACAAGTTTTTCCTCGTCGCGATAATAAACGGAAACGTAAAAAATCCCCCTAAGAACTTTTCAGCGCCAGAACTGGGTCGATCGATTCCCTTCCTCGATTACTGTTCACTAAATTCATCTGTGGGACCACTATTTAGAAAGTGTCAACGTCAATGAATTTACAGAAAGTAAATGTTTTTACAGAACCTGTAAATAATGAGATGGCACTATCGAAAATACGAAAGTAATTGATGTAATAAAGGTAATTTACTTGGACCCCGCGTTATCCCAAACTGAAACCGACACTCACATTCAGAAGCGACTTTCTCAAACGAATCTCTGAATATTTATCTTTATCCTCCGCCAACTGAATCGAAATTGCTTATTAATTAACGACGTCCCCGTTTCCGGAGGAGGAAAGAAAGGATCGAAGACTCTCTGGACAACTCTTTGATTCCATTATTGCTCGCCTAATTGGATTCCTCTCCGCGATCACGGCACACATCTATAAACCCGCGGCTCGTGAAACCAATTTGGGCATTCCTACGTATATACGTGCCGGGCCAACCGTCGCCGATCTATAGATCACCGCCGACACTCGGATACCTTCGCATCCCCCAAATTTTCTAGCTGTATTGCAGCTCCTTAATTGGCCAACTTGTAGTCTTAGATCCCTTTGAGTCGCTATTCGATCGTGTCGCGATCTTTATATACGAACCCCTCTACGAGGGCTCCAAATAGTGTACGATGGTTCCCGAGTTTGTACGAAATTCTCCGATTACCTGCTAAAATAGTCAAAGATCGGGAACTTTTATCTTCGCGATTTTTATTTGGTCTTCGACTTCTGTGAAGTTTTTTAAGACTTCTAGTCTTCTAGAAGTTCTTCTAGGGTTATTTAATTGGTTAACCCCTTGATTTTGACGAGTGACGCACTCGTACCTCGGCTGCGATCAATTTTACTCAAATTTTGACTGCGCTTCAATTTGCAGTTCGAGTCCAATTATAATTTGAATAGTTAGCAATTGAATAACAAAATATTGATATAATATTTCAATCTTTTTGTTCTGTTTTAATGTTGTAGCTATGATGACTGACGAATAAGTCATAGTGCAAGGGGTTAAGCGTAATAGTATAAAATAATGAGTCGCGTTTGAGATTGCAAGGGTAACCAGTCGAAAACAGAGATAGTTTTTGCGGACGTTGAATCGAGTCTACGAGCACGTGGGTGGCAATCAGCCGTAGGCCCATTGTGACCGGCTCGTTGGTCGTTAATTAAGACCCATCTCAATCGAATCTTTCTCTCCGCCCGATGGACAACCGATCGAAAAATCGTGATTCCTCTATCGTGACATTTCAATTCCTCCGAGACGTTCGCGTCTTTACCTGATCTCGTTTAGTCGATTACTCTGATTCGAAACAAAAATAGAGCAAGATTTGTCGAGTTCAGTTTCTCGTGGTAATTGAAGAGGCTAAATGATTAATTCGCAGAAATTCGGTTCCAAAAGTACTTATTACCGATGTTAAATCGGTTCGTGTGAAACGAGATTTCGAAATAAAAAATAATTGCTTCGTAATGAACGGTCGCAGGAAACGTTTCCTGTTAACGAAGAGGAGTTAATATCATCGACGTTTAAGAGGCATGCACCGTTACGAATATGCTATCATAAGTAATGAACAGTTAGAAAGTCTCGATCAACGGGACCAACTTTATCTCGGGACGTCTTCTAACCCTTTACGGTCTATAAATTTGCGATACCTCGAGATTAAAAGACGCGTCGAATAATTACCAAGTATATACTTGAATTAATTTGAAGGCCGAAATTGAAGAACTGAAAGTCCGATTAAAAACGTAGCTCGAAAGGCTCGGTCTCTTCGAAAGAAAGCAAAACAAGGAAAATGGAACTCCTGAATCGGTCCTGTAAGAAAAGAGAGAGAGGGGAGCAGTGGCAACGTCCCTGAATGAGAAAGCGGTTCGATGCACTTGCTGCCGGATCCCCACCTTCCTTCCTATTCGTGGCCGATTCAGACGTGTTGCAACACGAAAGGAACGAGTGTACAGGATAATGCCAGGAGCGTGTATACCCTCGTGGACAAGAACGGGGAAACTCGAAGAGGAGGATGCGGTCTGATTCGAAAGCCCTCCCAGGTGCCGGGCTTTTTGCCAGCTTCATTCGTCTCGCCTCGTTCCTTCTCTCGTGATTTCGGGGAATCGTGAAAATTTCGATCGAGAGAACGGAGATGACACTCTCGAAACGAGGTTTTTCGAATTAATGATGCAACGGAGGAGGCTTGATAAGAAGAACGTCTCCTCTCACTTTGGAGGACCAATTTAGATGCCTAAGGCAAATGACGGAGGATTTCGACGCGGGGTTTCTGCGCATGCGCGGGGAGTACGAGTATGGCGGCCGAGAAAGAATAGTTTAAACTTTCCTTTGTCTTATTATTAAATTACTATTAGGTTAAATTACTGTTTAATCTAGAACTAAAGAGTAGTACTCTAGACAAGGAGAGAAGGAATCAATTTATATTAAACTAGTGGAGGTACAATTTCGACGCGGTATTGCGAATTGCGCATGTGCGGAGAGTACAAGCATGGCGGTCGAGAAAGAATAGTTTAAACTTTCCTTTGTCGAATTACTATTAAATTAGTATTAGATTCAATTACTATCTTTAACCTAGGACTAAAGAGTAGCACTCTAAACATGCAGACAAAGAATCAATTTATATCAAACGAGTAGAAGTACGATTTCAACGCAACATTGCGAACTGCGCATGCGCGGAGAGTACAAGTATGGCGGTCGAAAAGTAGTTCACATTCACCGCTAGTTTAAATATATTCTGTAGAGTATTTTCGCATCCTTTCTCAATTTTAGAATGCTATAAAAGTATAACTTCAAAAGCCAATACCAGTAATACAATAAAATAATATAATATATAAAATAATACCGAATACAGTCCTAATTGAAATTAAAGCTTGATTTAAATTTCCCGGTCCTTGCCGACAAAGAGCCTACTGTAATTATTTTTGTATGAACCTGTATGACCACCTGTTTCTCGCAGGATAAAATCGCTCGGAATAAAACTGATTTCTTGCTCGCAGAGAAGACAAACAAGCAGCCACCGTTCGCGACGTAAATAATGATTGACGAGGCGAAGGCCCTCCAAGGAACATAAACGTTGTTTCTGCCTGCTTGAATTGCTCCTCGAGACGAATTTATTGATAATAACGCGGATAGCACGACGATCAACCATTTTGATTCGATTGCGCGTCGTTAATTCGTGGAACGTCTCGAACTGTTTCGAGCTGGCTTCCCCGATCGCTAGTTCTGGCTCATTAACTTTCTTAGGCCATTCTTGCCTTAAACGCTTCCTCTATTTATTTAGCGTTTACAGCTTTCCAGCTTTCCGTTTCACCGACTCGGAGATATGCTACCTGTTCGGATATCGAGATCTAATTCCTCGTAAGAAATTATCGAGCAGGTGTTCGCGTGCAAGTAATTGCGTCGTATCCCTTGCAATTATGAAAACGTACAGGTCGCCCCAAAATAGTTGCTCCTTTATTATCTACTTTGCACTCCAATTGAAGGCAAAATCTTGTAAGAAAATCAAACTCACCCAGCCACAGGCGTCATTTTCAGCGCGAGTGCTCTGCTGATGCAAAATCCAGCGCCACCGGTCGCGAACCAGAACTTCACCTTTTGCTAAAACAGAAAAACAGACAGTGGAATCTGAGACACTCGTATAAAAAATCGTGATCGATCGCTGGCAGGACGCTTGATCGATCGCCGTTGCCAGCCGATTATCGGGGATGACTTTACGAATCGAGGCCACGATCGATTACCCGTCGATATCCCTCCTTTTCGGACAAATTACGCATCCGACGCGTCGGGAACTGATCGAATATCCTTCCATCCCTTTGAAATATAGGGAGATATTTAAAGCCACCTGAACAACTGCTATCTGACAGGAAAAAATGCTGAAATCTAAATTATTTGACTCGAAGATCATCCGATGACATCAAATGATCACTCCTAACACCAAGTCATTTGTACCTGATTTCTTTCTATCAGCAATCACTTTATTCTAGCCATTCTGCCTCACCCTGCATATCCTCTACGAATAATAAACTTGGAATAAAAGTGTGGTTAAGAATGTAGTCGCTGAAAAATAAGACGTGGAGAGTAACGTGTCATATCGTAACCGTTAGGGTATCGCAAGGAAATCATGTACGAAGTGGAAGCATCGTTAGCCAGTCGATTTCTGAGCGATCGTAGCTGCAGGCCATAGGTATCCGTGCTGGCGATACTATCTAGAACTCGAGAACTCGTGGTGCTCTCCTTAGGCTAGGCGTGGTACATGACGAACAACCGTGAACCTAAACTGTGCTGCACGTGCGTAGCTATCGATGAAACCGGTCCTTCGAAAAAAGCCCGAGACAATGCTTCGATTCGCTGTTCCTTGCGGCTCAACCAGCTGGAACGAGGTACATTTTGCTATTCATTTGCGGTTCTCGGTTCTTTATCTCGACTCGAAATTTTATGCGATATTATCGCGGTTGGTCCACGACTGACCCAGTCGAGGTAAATCCTTCGGAGGATGATAAGAGAAGGCAGCCGGCGAGCGTTATAGCAATCAGCCAACCGAATTTATCTCTGGATCGCTGCCAATCGTCGCTACGTAATTGGATATAGGATCGCGTAATCGGTTTCCCGAAGCTCCGAGAGTACACATCAACCCTCGGCTTGGAAGCCAGGAATGTAATTAGTCAGAGGCACACCCGGCACAATCTTCCTCGACGATCTGCCGATCCGTCCGTTCTCCGCACTTCCAAACGATAATAAAAATCATCCGATCGAACAGGTGCCGTTGCAATGGTATTTCAAGGAAAGTTATAAGTTTATACGGTTTAATGAAACAAGATGATAGAAGCTCCTGATAGAGGGATTGGGTCGATGGTACAGGAGGTACTTTGATCTTCCTTCCTTTATTTCGAGTTCCATTTGAATAACACAAGGCTGCAGTCACGAGGAGCCGCGAGACTCGCGTGGAATTCTAGGGTCAGCTGAACTGCACACTGGACAGCCAAATGGCTACCATCGTTCTATCTTGCGCGTTCTTTCTGGTCATTCGAAACTTCGACACCTTTTATACAATTGTCTGTAGGTGTTTGAAGGTGAGGGACTCTGGATCGATAGAATTTGGAGCGACTCTTGATCTGAGGGATAGTGATCGCTTGGTTCAATTTGGTCACTTGGTTACTTGATCTACTTGGTCACTTGTTCCAACTTGGTCATTTGGTCGAACTTGGTCATTTAGTCATTTAGTCTAGCTTGGTGATTTGGTCACTTGGTCCAACTTGGTCATTTGATCATTTAGTCCAGCTTGATGATTTGGTTACTTGATCCAACTTGATCTAACTTAGCTACTTGGTCCAACTTGGTCATTTGGTCATTTAGTCCAGCTTGATAATTTGGTTACTTGATCCAACTTGATTTAACTTGGCTACTTGATCCAACTTGATCCAATTTGGTCACTTGATCCAACTTGGTCACTTAATCCAACTTGGTGATTTGGTTACTTGATCCAACTTGATTTAACTTAGCTACTTGGTCCAACTTGGTCATTTGATCATTTAGTCCAGCTTGATGACTTAGTCACTTGATCCAACTTGATCTAACTTAGCTACTTGGTCCAACTTGGTCATATGGTCAATCAGTCCAGCTTGATGATTTGGTTACTTGATCCAACTTGATCTAACTTGGCTACTTGGTGCAACTTGATCCAACTTGGTCACTTTATCCAACTTGATTCAACTTGGTCACTTGATCCAACTTGATCCAACCTGGTCACTTGATCCAACTTGATCCAACCTGGTCACTTTATCCAACTTGATTCAACTTGGTCACTTGATCCAACTTGATCCAACCTGGTCATTTGATCCAACTTGATCCAACCTGGTCTCTTAGTCCATCTTGATCTAACTTGCTCACTTGGTTCATCTTGATCCAACCTGGTCACTTGGTCCATCTTCATCCAACCTGGTCTCTTAATCCAACTTATTCATTTGGTTACTTGATCCAGCTTGGTGCAACTTGCACACTTGAATAATCTGATCACATATTCTACAATCTATGTAGCCATATTTTGTGTTGAAACCTAAAAAAGCTCTAAAATCCCCTTTGTCTTAGAACCAGAGTCCTAACTCAGCCTCTATTCCCTGCAAGATCCAGATACAATCCCTGGTGCCGTTACTCGCACCCAGGTTAACATTCCGCGCAATTAACCGAGCCGATCGAGCCGCATAGTTCGACAATCGACGGGGCTAAGTAGACGTTGACAAGCGGACCCGGAAGCTTCGAGGCGGGGCCGATAGCGCATAGTTAGCTCGAAATGAAATAGGGCCGTCATCGAAAGAGGACAGGTGAACGTATCGAGCGGTACATCGCGAAGAAGCGTTCGTGACCCATGACGGCCTCCATGGATGCGTTATCCGGTGCTACGTTAAAAGTGCCGGAGTAAAGAGAAAACGAACATGTTCCTGCGCCACGTACTCCTTAGGTATTATTATACCGGTGTTCTTTTTCATGCATCCGGCAATCTAGTTCTGGCGGCTTATTTTATTTACTTCATCGATTTGCGCGTTACAGCACGCGCATGCAAATTGACACGGCTTGTCCGCAATTATCGTTCATTAATATTCGCGGCGGACTTGGCTGCGTTTATCGGGTGCTGAGTGCTATTTCCGAGGCTCGTGTTAATTGTTTCTTCCGAGTCTAAATACTTATACGATCGTATATGCTACTTTTACGATAAGATACTTGCACTGGTACTCTCTTTGAGTACTGACTCTTTGAGACAGTACGAGTTTTGAGAATATCTGAATGTCGAGTGCAATGATTCGAATGTTGAGGTAGTGATTGAAGATGATATCTGAATGTTGAGCTAGTGATTGAAGATATTTGATTTGAAAACACAGTTTCATAAGAAACTTTACTCTCGTGTCAAGCTAACTAAAATTGCAGTCTAAGAATCTAAAATATGTTTCTACAAAGTCAATCTTTATCAGATTGATAATAAAACTAGATATCTCAACCCAGGATTTTTGGAGCCGAATTTTCTTAGAATTTATTTGAATGCAAGTACGAAAAAGGCTCGTAGCGAATATATTCGAGAAGTGGTTCAGTAAACAGACAACAAAAGAGGATTCCTCTTCCACAAAAGCGTATTAACCTCTTATCTGCAATTCAATCCGTCGACCGAGCAATCTTCCGATCTAATTAGCTTCCGTTCCATTGTGACCGCGGCCACAATTTTCCAGCGGGAACACGAGTAGGTCTCAGTTTCCACGTGGATCGGGCAAAGCGTAGGATGCGCACGGTTCGTCACGGGTCACGCGCGCAATCTCGACGCATTCAATGCGAACAATACGACTGCTAATTACGGTAGGTTCGTTAAAATCACCGGAGAATACCGACCTCTCGCATCCTATGAAACACGAAGTGGTACAACGTCACGCCGTGGAACGGTCGTCATCGATCTCGATGCTTAATCGAATACTTCCGATAAATTGAACCGCACAGAGTACATCCTTTTTGAAGAAACTTTATTTTTGAAGAATTTATTGTTTATTATGTATTGGAAGAACCATAAAGAAATTGTTGTAGTTACACCGAAAATTCACTCGTTTCGATCTTGCTGCAGTTTGTTGTCTGCGCATGCGCGCCTCATATGAACAGTCATCGATAGATCCTCGATGTTTAATCGAATACTTCCGATAAAATGAACCGCACAGAGTACATCCTTTTTGAAGAAACTTTATTTTTGAAGAATTTATTGTTTATTATGTATTGGAAGAACCATAAAGAAATTGTTGTAGTTACACCGAAAATTTACTCGTTTCGATCTTGCTGCAGTTCGGTGTCTGCGCATGCGCGTCTGATATGAACAGTCATCGATAGATCCTCGATGCTTAATCAAATACTTCCGATAAAATGAACCGCACAGAGTACATCCTTTTTGAAGAAACTTTATTTTTGAAGAATTTATTGTTTATTGTGTATTGGAAGAACCATAAAGAAATTGTTGCAGTTACACCGAAAAGTCACTCGTTTCGATCTTGCTGCAGTTCGGTGTCTGCGCATGCGCGCATCACGTGGCCATCTGTTTGGGGCGCGCCCGAAGATTCGATCTTTAATTACTTTTATCTGCCTAAGGAAATTTTCGATTCGTTTTTACTTTGTATATCAGAAAAGAGATTATTCTTAGGATTTGAAAATGGACGAAAGGTGCAGCAAGTAACATGGTAATAGGAAGATTTTATTATCGCAGAGCGGTTGCGCTAGGTACCACTTAGAGTTGTTTAAGTGCCGTCCAACGATTATAGCGATCTACTTCGGCCGAGTTCTCACGTGCGATAAAATGCCTCCGCGAACTGTTTCAACGACATACCCGTTTGTAACGAGCGTTTCCTGGCAAAGCCCTTTCTTATGCACCGGAATTCGCGATCGATTTCCCTGCGTTTTTATGGAAATTCGTGTTGTAACAGAATTTACATTTTCAAATTCCATGAAGTTACCACGAAATTTATACGACATGATTTATTAACGCTGAAAATTGGGGAGTAGTAAAAAATAGTGTTTGTTGGTGCGTGGGACGCACTCGTAAATAACGTTGATTTTCCGGCAGAATAAACAGAGCAAGA